TCATCCTTTCTTACATTTTTCAACAAAATTTTCATTCAACCTTAAATAGAATAAGGACGAAGAGAACACTCCCGACAGTTCGGCAAAATCGAGGAATTTCTCGATGAAAATTGTTGAATGCATAGCTATAAGTTGGCGACCCAATCTGTTTCGGTATAATCAGAATTCCAGGCTTCATTTTGTATTCAAAAACTTCTTCAGCTGATTACATACGAGCATAGTTGAAGAGAGAGGGGCAAAGACGAGGGAGAAAGGAGGGAGAAAGTCGAAAACTGGAGAATAGTTGCATAGTGGAATTACTAGTTTTGTATCAAGCCATGAAGGCCAAGAATCATTAGGAAGACAGAAGGCGATGAAGATTTCTTCGGCGGTCATTAAGAAAACTGAACTGATCTATGGGCAGATTGGTGATTTGTGATCAGTTAGAAATGAGCATTAGGTTCGGCTGAAATCGCTGTAAAAGTTCCATTTTCAATGATGAAGCTGTGAATAACGAAGGCTGCGTTGATCACCCCCAAAGAACTGAGCTTATAGAATCAAGTTTTTCGTGGAAGAAATTCTTCGGAAGTTTCCTCCATCTGAGACTGCTACCAAACTTCGCGTTTATCAAGTCAATAAACAGTGGTATTGCAGGATTCTTGGATGGACGGACCGGTAGAATTTCGAAAGGCAAAGGAATTGCGGGATGCTGTGGATGAGTACACCGCGCTGCTACAGCGTTTAAGCACGAAGAAGCCTGGATCGTTTGAACAACGGCATAACGGTAGTCTTGCGGAACAACCTCGAAGTGTCTTCATTGAAAGAACTCAGAACAGTAATCCTTCGACCACGTCTGAAGCTTCAGGTTAAACTGAACATCACTTGATCATAGAATAGAAAAGGCGAAAAAAATATTTTGCTCACCTTTTTTTCCGACACGTTATTTTTCCACTTCCTTACTTCGTGCATTAGGCTCCTACTGTATCTCATTTATCTTGTCAAGACTGCTCGCAATATGAACTCTGTCGTACGTGAAGTGTAATAGTAAAATGGAAGGATTGGTCTTAAGTGTCATGTGCCAAAGGACATTTTACTATGTGGACATTTTACTGTGTGGAACATGGCCTGGAGATCAGCGGCAAACAGCTAAATTACTATACACATAGTAATTTAGCTGTTTCCGCTGATCTCCAGGCCATATTCCGTATAGTAAAATGTCCTTCGGCACATGACACTTAAGACTAGTCCTTTCATTCTACTGTTCCATATTCCGAGTCTGTTTTTCTTTGAGTAAACCTAGCGTTCTTTCTTGAAAGGCCGAAATTAAGAGTCCTTTGTTGGAATTTAGCACTGTTTTTATCACTTATTTTAAAGCTTACACTACTGCTAAACATAAATGATAGAGAATCCTCTTTTTATCACACCATTTTAGTATGTGGGCTTTTTCAAACACTGGTCGTATTTCGATTTACTAGTGCAATACAATACAAATAAATAGCAGCGCGCACCAGACTAGCCGGTGTGATCATGCGTTTTGTGCAATTCAGCCCATCGAGCGGTTGCCCATTAATGATTTTCACTGCTTTGTACTTTAGTCTATGCAAAAATAGTTCAAACATTGGAAA